AAAAAAAAAAAAAAAAAAAAAAAAAGAAACTGATATTTTAGATGTGGATAAGGGAGAGAAAATAATCAAAATGACTTATAGTTTTCAGGCTTAGGCAACTGGGTAAATGTGTTAAAAGTAGAGGAACTGGGCATGGTGATTCACACCTATAATATCAACACTTTGGGAGGCTGAGGCAGAAGGATGTCTTGAGCCCAGAAGGTCAAGACCAGCCTGGGCAATATAGTGAGCCCCCATCTCTATTTTATAGGGAAAATTTAAAAAAGAAAAAGAAAGAAACAGGCCCCATGCAGTGGCCCATGCCTATAATCCTAGCACTTTGGGAGGCTGGGATGGGAGGATTGCTTGAACCCAGGAGTTTATGGCCAGCCTGGGCAACACAGATCCTGTCTCAAAAAAATGTTTTTTAAATTAAAAATAAAACAAAACAGGGGAGGCTTTCTGGTGGGGGGGAAATGACACGTTTTCTGGAAAAGTTGCCTTGGAGGTGCTTGTGAGGCATGCATGTACACATACAGGCTCTGGCATGTTTCATCTCTCAGGAGCAATATCTAGGCAGAGGTACGGATCTGAGAGTCATCAGCAAGCCTTTGGTAACTGAAGCCATGGGAGAGACTATGCAATTGCCCAGTGTCCATAAAATGAGAAGATGGCTCAAAACAGACTACTGCCTGGTAGGCAGTGGTTAGAGCTCAGCAGAGAATTAAACTCTGATTGTCTCCAAAGTTCATGCCCTTTCTATTAGACAAGTTACTTCTATAAAAGTTTTTGAACTCTCATGTGAGTCAACAAGTTATTCAACAAGTATTTGATTCTCTACTTTGTGTTAAGCACCAAATACACCTCAGTAAGCAAGACTGATACAGAGTCCCTGTCTTTAGAGCTTACAGCCTAGTGAAGATGAATTATAATACAGATAGGTTAAGTACTGTGATAGCTAGAGTACCTCTGTGTCCAGGAGTACCTAACCCAGACTTGCGGTGGGGTGAAGGAAGGTTTTTTTTTTTGGAGATGAGATTTCATTATGTTACCCAGGCCCGTCTAGTGTGCCCAACACCAGGAGGTAGGCTTTCTGAAAGAAATGAAATCTAAGCTAGGTTTTTTGGTTTTTTTTTGAGTTGGAGTCTCACTGTCGTCCAGACTGCTGGAGTGCAGTGGTCGCTCCCGGCCACCGCAGCCTCGACCTGCTGGGCTCCAGCGATCCTTCTGCCTCAGCCTTCCAAGTAGCTGGAACTACAGACACGTGCTACCATGCCCGGCTAATTTTTTGATTTATTGTAGAGATGAGGTCTCGCCAAGTTGCCCGGGTGAGTCTTGAACCCACGGGCTCAGGCAATCCACTCACCTCGGCCTCCCAAAGCGCTGGGATTACAGGCTGAGCCACCGAGCCCAGCCTAAGCTAGGTTTTAAGGATAAAGGAGTCAGCTAGGCAAAAGGTAAAGGCAGAGGCTTCCAGGCAAGCAGAAAGAGCACATTTCTCCTTTTGCTTAAAGTTTCATGGAGGAAAAGTAAGAGAAGGGCCATCACATTTGGGTAGTAATGTCTGTGTTTAGTCCATGAACATGCCGGTTTACGTAAGATAACAAAAGTATTTGGGTTTCCCTTCAGGTGAAGAAGTCCCAGCCCATTGCTGCATCTTGTCTGCCTGCAGCCCCTTTTTCACAGAGCGCCTGGAGCGGGAGAGGCCAGCTCAGGGTCAGAAGGTAGTGCTACAGTTGGGTGGTCTGAAGATCAGGACACTTAGGAAGCTGGTGGAATTCCTGTATACCTCAGAGATAGAAGTATCTCGAGAAGAAGCACAGGAAGTGCTTTCTGCTGCTCGTCAGCTCCGTGTTTCTGAGCTAGAATCCCTTCAGCTAGAGGGTGGAAAATTGGTGAAGGCCCTGCAGGGCCGAAGACTGAACCGAGAGTGTTTACAGCCACCAAGTGCTACATCAATCTCTGCCAGAGTAGTGGCACCCAGCTGCAGCCCTCAATCTCCACCGCCTGCTACCCACACTCCCTGTCCTCCTAGGGCAGTAAGATGGGAGTCCTCAGGGAAGGAGGAGGGGCCCCATGAAAAGAGCAACCAACAAAATGCAGAGAACCTATCTGGCACACTTCAGCTCAAGAGGAAGGCCAGAGCCTGTGCCACTCCACAAGAAAAAAGCCCTTCACCATCAAGCCACGGTCAGGGGCCTAAGGAGAACGAGAATGACCCTGCTCTTGGTCTTACAGCACTTTCCCCACCCAGCTTTTTCCCCCCTGTGGATGAGCAACTACTGCCCAGAAAGATCAGACTAAGTCGAGCAAGGCCGTCTTCTGATATCTGTACATCAAAGCCTTCCAGCATTTTAAGCATATCCAGCTCAGTGCCTGTAGGCCCTGGCCGGCGCCTTTGGCGACAGAGGAGTATAAATAAAGCACCAGAGGACAAGAAACCAGGGAGAGCTATTCCTCTACAGAGGACTCCAAGCCCTTCTGGTCTTGGGAAGACAGGTGGGAGCAGGAAGCAGAGCTACAAAGTCAGGGCATCTAACTCAGACTCTGCAGAGGAGGGGCAGGTTGGAAGAGTGAAACTTCGGAAGATTGTCAATGGGACCTGCTGGGAGGTAGTGCAAGACATTCCCCAGATCTCAGCTCCTGGAGGAGACTTCAAAGAGCCTTCAGGGATTCAGCCATCTTCAGTAAACGAGCAGGGAATGTCATCTGCTAGAATAGAACTGTGTCAGGACTCCTCCCTGTCCTCAAGGCTACAAGACATTCTGCTCTCTAGTAGCCACACCCCAGACCACCCAGTGGTGAAATCCAAGTTTAGGTCCAGTCCAGAGTTGGTAGGGAAGGAACCAGTATTGGATACTGACTGCAGAAAGCCCTATGCATTTGACACAGCCCTATTGGGGCAGCCCTGTGAAGCTGAGGAGTACCGAATCACAAGTAGTGCTGCTACCAGTGAACTGGAGGAGATCCTGGACTTCATGCTCTGTGGCTCAGACATGGAACCACCTATAGGGTCTCTGGAGAGTCCAGGATCTGAGGGTTATAGAACCCCTAGTTATCACCCAACAGAAACAGGAAAGAACTGGATTGAAGGGGAAGAATGGTGTTTGCCAGATGTGGAACTCTGGGCCAGGGAGCTCACAGGATTAGAAAAGGAAGCTATTGGTGAGAACAAAGGGCCAGTTGAGCCCCTTAGCCCCTTTGTTATGCCCTCTGAGATAAATGAAGTGCTTTCGGTGGGAGGCTCTTGGACTGCAGACATTGAAATGACCAACTCCCAGTCCCTGAATGGTCAGGGAGACAAACTTCTCCCCATCGACTCTGACTCCCTTGACCCTCCCCAGAGGTCTTATGGGGACCTCTCACCTCTCTGCTCAAACTGGGTGGAGACTGGGCTAGAAGTGTCCCTACCTGTGGAAGAGGTATTATGCCCTGCTCCAGAGACAAATGAGGAGATACCTGGTAGCTCTGAACTACTGGGTCCACCTCCTGTCAGCTCTGAAGAGGAAGAGATTGATGTGGTAGACTGGACAGCAGAGGGCAAGTTGGTACCCACTGGTATTCCCTCCGTATGGCCTGACCCTTCCTCAGAGTCAGAAACAGAGGTAGATATACTAACGTAGCAGAGGTGGGAAGATGGAAAGTGTTGGGTTAAAAAAGGCATATTGACAGAGAAGCTAGCACGTACTCTTTCTTGGCACAAGAGGGCAGGTACACCCCTGGCTCTTCATAGGTTCCAATCCTTCCCTCCCCAGGACTTGGGAACCAGGCACAAGTTAAGGAGTACCATGGGCAGAAAATTATGAACTTGAACCATCTTATTTTTTTATAATCTATTTTCCAGTTAGTGACAAGTGAAATAATAAATTGTGTGGTCCCAACACAGTTTACAGCCAAGACCAGGTCCTGCATCTAGTCACTGTTAATTCAGGAAGCTGTGTTGGGCAGAACACTAAGTGGCTAGAGTGACGGATGTTGCCCCGCACCTAATGTGTATGAGCTTATTCACTGCCAGTAAGGGAAGTCTAGCTAATCTCTGTAGAGCCAGGAAGATGCACTTCCATAATCACTTCCAAGAAGTGGGTAGAAAAAGACAGTTGTTTTTTAAAAAAAATAAATAATTTACTTTGCTCCTCTGGTGTTTGTATTTCACATGCTTTACCAATGACCCTAGCAGTTCTAGGTCACATGGCTACCTTGGGCTGTGAAAAATACAAGGACTACCAATCCCACAAGGCTGGCTTTGTCCATCCCTTAACATAACATCGTTACTTTTATTACTCAAATACTTTATTTCAGCTTTTATTAAACAAACCAAATCCGGTAACTTTTACAATGCCTTACTAGAGGGCTGCCTCACAACTGAACCATCATTTCTGGAGGAGAAGAAACCATGGCTTCAGGCACATGACTGAAGTTTGGCCATGTCCCATCATAAATGCTCCAACATCACCAGGGACAGAAAGCTGCAAAAAATGAAAGAAAGGTTAGAGAAGGGATCCACACAAACATCAAGAACTGAGGAAGACATGTCCCCACCACCCACAAGCCCAGGAGCTCAAGGATTACATCCTTCCCCCAAATCTCAGCATACAGGTGCATGCCAAAGCACTGTATGATGCACCAGGAACAAAGACATGAGTGACAGTATTGTAGTGTAGAGGGACTATTAACAAGAATGCACTAGGAACAAAAACCCAGAAGAGTATGGGGATAAGCATATCTGAAATAATATGAAAGATCTCACCAGTAACGGGAAAAGCACTAACTTATACAAATATAAAAACATGTCAGATTTTGTTTACCTCAATAAGGGAACCGAAAGGATTTACACTAGGAACAAAGATAAGGAGTGATGGTATTTTAGTGCAGTGTATACACATGGGACTATTAACAGGAAGAACAGGAACAAAAAAACACATAGGGGAAAGCATGTGTGAAGTAACAGGAGAGATCTTGCCAGTAAGAGGGGAAACCACAAACTCACAGAAATATAAAAATGTGTCAAAGATTTTGCTTAATAAGGGAACCAAAGGATTTACAGCAGGTTCAAAGAATTAAAGCAGCCATCAGGAATGCAGAAATAAATTTTAAACAAATGCAAAACTGGCCCAGACCCCCAAGGCAACAACCTACCGCGTCTCCAACGGGCACAAATTGCACTCTGGGTTTACGTTACCATCAGCATTCTACAAGTTAGCTCAAAGAGAGTGAAGATGGAGTTAGCCAAGGGCTTCCTAGCTAGGAAACGGTTCTTTGCTTAGACCCTCTGTGAAGTGGGTGGTAATGGTTAGGGCTGCTTTGCCAACCGCCACACCAAGATGAATGCCCGCCTCCCTCACCCACGCCACGCTCCCGCACTGCACCTCAGCGTGAGGACTTCTGCCCAGGCTTCCCTACGAAAGGTACTTCTTCAGCTCTTCCACCACCTCCCGAGGTTCAGGAAACTTGAGTTTGCGTGGAGGCCCCTTCTTAATCCCAGTCCAGAGCTCCGCACCTGCGAAAGGCCCGAACCAAGCCTCGTTACCGCGGCATCCACGAGCACCCAGGCGGGTCACCGCGGTTTGGGCCGAGCGGTTCTCCTCTTTGGACCCCATGCCCGGCTCCCGCAGACCCAGCTCCCCACTCACTGCCGCCGTCCGGGCGCAGCAGCGTCACCTCGAAGCTGCCCTTCCGGGGCTTGGCGGGATTCACCTTCACCGGGAGCTCCGGGGCCTCCAGGCGCAGCGCCTGGCTCAGGGCCGCGGCGTTGCGCCCGTAGACGCGTCAGCTCGTGCTAGGGAGAGACGGGGGCGTTAGGGGCCGGGACCCCGGCCCGCGACGCCACTGTCCTCCCCCGCGACCCCGGCCCCTGACCAGTGCTCGATAACGACAGTCGCCTCCGCTCGCTCCACGCCGTTCGCCAGCTTCTCGCGCTTCTCG